AGATGGTATTCCTGGGATACATCAAAAACAAAGCTTACCACCGTCTCAGGACTTCACACTTTAACCAGGAAGAGCAGACAATAAACAAATAATGTAGTTTGTTAGAAAGCAGTAAATGCTATGGGAAAAAATGAACTGTAAAGCCTAGTAGGAGTAACGGTTATACCAAGCAGGTAGTGTGGCCAGGGTAGTCCTTACTGACAAGGTGCAATTTGAGCCAGCCATTTTCTGGGGGAAGACCATTCCAGCAGAGAAGAGCTAGACCAAAGACCCTGAGGCCTTTATAAAAAAAATAATTAAATGACATAGACGTATAGACAGCAAACATCAAAAATTCTCAGTTTTCTGTCTTGCCCCTTTCCTAGTTCCCAAAATTAAATTTGTCATATCAGCCTCCATCTTTTTCAGTAAATTCATATACATTTGTGTATCTCTCTCTCTCTCTTTTTTTTAATGAGAGCAGACCACATACCTTGTTCTACAACTCTGTCTTTCATTTACTAATGTCTTGGAGACCTTCCCAACTACTAATGTAGAAATTTCCCAGCTCTTGCATATGTTCCAGAACGTTGTTGACTGTCCGTGTACGTCCACCTTTATGCACACACCACTATTTCTGTAGGTTAGATTTTTTTCCTAGGTCCGAGGAACTGTTTTAAATTCTCCATCAGATTGTCTTTGCTAACGTCTGTGGTTTGATTATGATTCTTTCGGAAAATTTATTATGGAGCTCTAGAAGTTTAGGGACTTGTTTGAATAAATTTCCTGGCTATGGATTTACCAGTTCTCAAGAGGAGATAGCATTGAAAAGGCAGGTCACATACTGCACTTTGGTCACATCTGTGCCCACGATAACTGTCTAATTATAAATCACTTCTAGTTCTTTTTGGTCATTGGGAATCTAAAAGCCCATACAGTTATTGTAAGATTTTTTCCTTTGAATGGGTGGACCATCTGGTTATAATTTTGGTTTCAGTTCTTTGTTGTGCAACTGGCACCCAAATAAACTGTCTCCAAATGTGAGTAGCGGAGCCCGTCATAAACAAGGAAAAGGGTTTTGCTTTTTTATTGCTAGGATGTCAGATGTTAGCAGATGAGTGTCAATAAAATGTTGCTTCTTGATGTTATGCGTGACCTACACTAGTGGTAGCAACTTCCTGTCAAGGGCCGTGTTGTCAGTATTTTGGGCCTCACAGCCACATGTGTCCTCTGCTGTGTGTTTGCAGTGACTTCTGTAAAACAAAACAAAACAACCCTTTAAACGTGTCCTCTGTGTCCTTCACCATGTTTTTGTGCTTTGTGATCCTGAGTGAGGGTTGGAGACTCATTTTACGTAATGATCTAACGTGAAGTTTCTGTATGGCTTGCTTGCCACTGACGAGAGATCTGTAATCATGACTTTACTGAATTTATAAGAATATGAATACAGACTTGACCTCGTATTGCAGGCATTTTGGCACATTCATGGGAGGTATTCTCTATAAATATGACACTTTTCAAATTCTCCATACCCTGCAAGTTTGCCGTCTAGAAACTAAGTGCCTAAATAGTTGCCAATTTCAAATGAATATTTATGGTAGACTTGTTTCTAAATAAACTAATGATTAAACTTGTTTCGTATTTTAATTTATAAGGGTGATCTATATTTTAAAGGCTCAAATTACTTTGTTTCCTCATTTCTCTCATCGACTTCCCCCTTTTTATGGTCTGGTTGTGGCTGGCTTTCATAAATTGACGTGAAAGCTGCGTTCTTACTTCTGCAGGGTCTCATTTGATGATAGTGTTACAGTTTCTTCCCCTGGCGATGGAGGGAAGAGTTTTGGGTCTTTGCTGTCTCTGTCCTAAAGCCATCCTTCACTAGACTCCAGCAGGTGGCTTTTAGGGTATTAAGCATGGGGAATCACTGTGGAAGAAACATCCAAATCCCTCTAAAAGGCTAAGTGGTTGCCTGATAGACTGAGGATTTGGGGGATATACCTGGCCTACTTTGCACAGTGTTTCCAAAAAGGTGCATAAACTCAAATATTTAAAGTCTGGGACTTCTATTTCTTCTGTTTAAAATTTTAATTATATTCTGTCAAATAATCTTTCATAACGCTTGCTTTCTAGGCCTTGATTGTATTTGGCTAAACAATGCTTAATCCCAATGTATAAATAATAATAATAAAGAAAAAAAAAACAGTGCTTAATCCTACTGGTAGATATACCATTTTAGCCTAAGAGTATCTGATGAAAACTCATTTAATTTCTATTTTAGCACTGGCTCTCTAATAACTTCTCAGACAATACTTGAAACATTTGCTATTTTGTAAAAATCCATTTACCAAGATAAATATTAAGGAGAGTGCAGAAAATAAAGCAGTGATGTGGTTTTTAATATTATCTAATCATTAGTTGGATTAAGGGGTAATATTTTCAACTCAATAAAAAGTTGATTGGGTTTTCTGAAATTCACTTTTCTTATTTTGATTAATAATTATGGCTTTTTAAAATATAGTTCTCTTTTTAGCTATTTAGAGTCTATAAAATTCTGTTATTTCTTAACCAAATAAGTTTTTTTATGGTTACTTATCCATTTATTTTCTCATGGAGTAAGAGGGAGAGTTGGGTGGCATCCCCACTAGGGTCCTCATGCCACAATCCAGCCCAAGTCTCAGGTGGCCCAGGTCAAGTGCATGCACATGTGGGCCCAGTGTACTCAGGGAAGGTCCTGAGACTTGAACCCAGGACCCTTTCTGTGTGGGCTCAGTTGTGAGAACCCTGAGCTACCACATGGCCCCCAAATATTTTCTTAAATAACAAATTTGGACTCTGGCGTAATGAATTTTCTTGTAGATATTTTATTTTCTTTTAATCAGATCTTTTCTTTTTCTTCTTTCTTTCTTGTTTTTTTTTTTTTTTTTTTTTTGGAGAGGTTTTTTGCTGTAGGGCACATGCGCTTGCCAGAAAGACAGAGAGAGACAGAGAGACAGAAAAGTGAGAAATTACTCCCCAGGGGTGATAGTCACGCCACAATCCCTTCTCCTCCATTCTCCTCTCGGGATCTTGGGCACGCAAGCACATGTGCCCTGCATAAATTTCAGCCACTAAAGCCAGGACTCAAACCGTGGTCGATTACATGGGAGTTCAGTGATATTGCCATTATACCAACTGCTAGTCCTGAATGTGACTTTTTTAAAAGTCGATGAAATTCAGCATTGAGACAGGGTGAAATCTCTGGCTAGGTAGATAGGGTCAGGAGTTCACAGAATGGAGAACAGAGACAATATGGAGTCACTATAGGCAGGCCTATAATAGAAATCATTTGCGGCTCTCACCGAAAGTCAATTATTAGCTCTCACTACTTGCTTACATAAAAAGCTGCTTGCTTAAGATAATGAAACTTAAAGCCAATACTTTCCATATCATTACTGCATTCCAAACCCAGAGTGTAATCTCTCCTGGTCTGAAGACTAGGAGAGGAAGGACCTTGAACAATATACTCTTCTTTCATACATTTCTGAAATGTAGGGCCATCTGCTGACTAGTCTAGAAATAGACAAATTAACTGTCGTCCTGACAGTTAAACCTGCCCAGCTCAAGGACCCTGATTAACTCGAAACTCCCCGGTGGTACAGCACACCTGCACTGGCATCTCTTAAACAGAAGTTCTTTTTCTGCTATCTCCTTAGACAAAAATTGTTTGCATACGTTTTTTTCTTTCTTTTTGTTTATCAGGGCCTATATAACTAGGCCACTCCTACCCTAAGGGGATGACCCATTCGGGCACCCCCTTCCACTTCACTGGAAGCTTTTATTCTTTCCTAATAAACTTGGCTTACTATCCCCTGCATTTGTCCATGTGTTTCTAATTCTTCGTGAGCATTGGACAAGAACCTGCATAAGTGTTGGGTCTGATCACTGCAGACTCCTGTGTCGGTTTAACTTCTCATATCAGAAATTGGACAAATAACTGACCAGCCAGGGTGGCATGGGGGTCACAGTGTTCCGCAGTGCTGAAGCCATACAGGAAGGTCCCAGGTTTGTCCCGGGACCTCTCTGTACATACCAGGCATGGAGATGCCCCTGTGACCCTGGCTGGCTCAGGCTGGACGTGGATTGTGATGTGAAGACATCATTGCGGTTGTATCACTACTTTCTCTCTCTCTCTCTCTCCCCCTCTCCCCCTCCCTCTCTCCCTCCCCCCCTCCCTCCTCTCTCTTCTCTCTCTCTCCCCTCTCTCCTCTCCTTTCTCTTTCTCTCTTCTCTCTCTCTTTCTCTCCTCTCTCTCTCTCTCCTCTCTTTCTCAGAAATTAATGAACTGAAAAAAAGAAAGAAACTAAATTTTCTCTTCCGTCTATGTCACATAATGTGTTTCAGTCTTGTTTAGGAACATTTGGGGATTTGAGTTCTAAATAAACGTGGCAGTGTTATCTATATAACCTCACCATTCTTTGGAAAACGTGGGTTACCATCAGCTCGTGTCAAGGATGCTAATATGGAGTCTGAGTAAGCTTTGTGGATGAGGTGTGCACACACGCGCACACACACACACACACACGTGCATTTGTTCATTTTGAATTGAGCCATTCTTCAGGAGTCTTTAGATCAGCTGTCACACTGGTGCTTTTCTGCTTTGTTCTTTTGAGTCACTTGATGACTGGAGACTGACTGGACACTGGAGAGGAACGCTTTTAACAGATTAGCTCTGGGGCCCTCCTGTCCTCTCCCTGGCCTAAATGGTAGCAGCTGCATTCTGCCCTTTCTGTGGCCCTGCAAGGAAAGGAGGAGTGTGTGTGTAACAGTCCTCTGTCAGCATGTAGTATAAGTTTCTGAAGCACGTGGGATGAGGCCTTTCCCAGGAATACTGTTCGTCAAGACCAGAACACACAGAAGTCTTTCTATGCTTCATCTTGTAACTGTGACTGTTTTTATTTTATGGGGTCTGGAGAAGTTTAGTCCACATGACAGCTGTGCTGTGCCTCTGTACTTACCTGCGCTTTCTTTTTGAACTCCCACAGGCAGCAGTACTTGTCCAAAGATTACTCTAGTCTCACCCTGTCTGACAAGCAGCACAACCACACTGGTTGATCAGAATGTCTTGGATGAAGAGGCTCAGGGAATAAATGGAAACACGCCAGCTAAACACTCTACTGCAAGTCCAAAGCCACAAGGTATGCTTGTTTGGGGGTTTATGATCAGGGCAGGTGCTTGGTGGACCAGTGAAAGCTATCCAAGGGAATGACGACACAAAGAGAGTTTTTAGATACAGAGGAGAGGAATGAGTGCACTATGGTTCATAGAATCAACTGTGAAACTTTTCAGGTAGAGGCTGGTATTTGCTCTGCCCCTGAAATAACGTCTGTGTTTCTCTATTATGGATGTTTCATGTTGCCGAGATTGCACGCATGCCCCCTTAATGGGACTGTGATCTCCCCCACCCTGAGTTATGTCTGGCCTAGTCAGGGCTTGACTTACTGTGTTATAAATGCTCTTGGAACTACTTTCTGGACAAAAAGACTTGCCAAGGGTCAGAAGATCTGTGAAACAGCTAATCTGCAAACAGTGCTTAATGTACTTAACACAAATGGAATTTGATGATATTAATGAACTGGGGCTTGAAATTCTGCTTGGGAAGGTCATCCATAGAAATGGAAAGCACCCCGTCCTTCCATTCAGGATTGAGTGACCAGTGAAGGGAAAGCAAGAATGTCATTGTGGAAAGCTTTGAATCTTTTGCTCAGTGACCATTTCCTTTTACAAAGAAATTTCCAGTGAACTGGGCATTAACTTTGAGATGGCAGTTTTGATGAAAGAGAGAGAGCAGGGCCTTTTGAAATGTAACCCAAAAAAAAGCTAAGCTACACAATGATTTAATGTACAGTTTCTTCCTAATAGATTTTTATTTATAATGAATGCTGAACATTGAGCCAAGAAGCAATACTAGGTACTTTCAGAATTACTGTACTTTAGTAGAACCCATTTCTGGGTTTTTGTTTTGTTTATTTTGTGTTTGCTTTGGTCTCTTTCCTGTTCTTGTAAAAGAAAAAGGGTTATAGAAAATGCATTATAGAAGAATGGGTCTTATTCTTTAAAGGTCTGTGTTTGAGGGATTCTGAAAGAAAACCTTGAAAAGAAGTTTAAAATAGAATCTTGTAGATTAAGGGATATTGGTATGTTTGTTCTCACTAGTAGCTACATTTGTGGTATGCCATATGGTTTATCAAGCAAGGCCAAATAATTGGCAGTTCAAATGGATAGCCCATTCCTGAGCTTATAACTTGCCTTTCGACCATACTCTTCCCTATAACTCTTCTGCAAGTTCATGGAACGTGCATATTATGAGAAAAATATGCATGGATTTCAAGGTTTTTTTGTATCAACATAAACTTTACTTCCATTTTCCACACATTTTTCCAAGTCCTCTTGTGTATACATAAAGATTATTTTTATTCCTGGTCTAAAGAATTTTATTACCAAAATATAAAATTCCACCTTATTAGAGCTGGGTTGACGAGTATCAAATAGAAAGGAAGAATATAAAAAAGTGAATGCAATTCTATTTCATGTCATTGCCCAGATCAAAAACAAGACATTCATTATTTAGAAAGCTTTTATTTTGGAAGATGTATTGCATTACTTCATTGTTTTTCACGGTCAACGTGCTGAGATAAGTCATAGCACTCTCCTTCCTGAGCTGCCATGTGCCAAAATAATCCCATTCCTTAGGGAGACAACATTGAAGGTTGTTCTTGCTGTTTTCTAATTATATTAAAGTCACTCTATTGCCATTTAAGTATTTCTTATCTTAAATATAGGCTAATTATATACAATTTTCTGTAACTTAACATACTTAAATAAATCACTTCTTTTTCAAAATATTTTCACTCATCATTTGGCCTTTCCCTGGCACTCAAGGCTAAAATTTTAACCCAACCATGCCATTTTATTTCCCCTATATGTTAGTCCATTTAGACAATTATAACAAAATATTATAAACTAGGTGGCTTATAAACAATAGAAATTTATTTCTCATAGTTCTGGAGGCTGGGAAGTCCAGGATCAAAATACAAGCAGGACTGGTGAATGGTGGGGGCCTGCTTTCTAGTTCATACATGGCCCTCTTTTTACCAGCCTCACATGGTGGCAGGGGTAACAGGTCTCTCTGGGGCCTCCTTTTTAGTTTTATTTTATGTATGTATGTATGTATGTATGTATGTTTTTGCCATATACTTCATGCATAAGACAGAGGGAAAATGAGAAATGACTCCTGGGGGGGATGGCCACACCTTAATTCCCTTCCCCTCCATCCTCTCAGGATTTAGGGCACATGGGTGCACACCCATGAGCCCTGTGTGATTGTCAAGCCCACAGGTCTGGGACTTGAACTGCGGTCACCATGTGGGAGTCCAGTGCCCTAACGATGATTCCACATGCTGGCCAAAGGGCACTAGTCTCATTAATGAGGGCTCTGCCCCATGACCTCATCACCTCCCAAAGTCTTCCAACCTCCTCATCCCATTGTCTTGGGTATTGGTGCCCATCTCCACTGTATTTTTTTCTGTCATTTCAAAATCTCTTATATTTTAATCATTGACTCAGTTATATTAAATTAAATTAAATTTATTATTGTTATTATTTTTTAATTTGCTATAGGACATGTATGCTCACCAGAGAAAGACAGAAAGCAAGAGAAAGTGAGAAAGCAAGTCGCCAGGTCCAGGACTCAAACTACAGTCGTCCAAGTAGGAGGCCAGTGCCTTAACCACCACACCACCTGCTGGCCCCTGGACTTAGTTCTGTTCTGCCTTTTGCATTACTGCATCTCCTCACATAGCTGATGGCACACCTATAATGCTGTTCCATCACCACGGCTCTCCACTTGGTTCCTGCTGTTCTCTAAGAATGAATGCGTACCTTGAAGAAACCCACGTCCCTGAAACAGGGCTATAATTTAGTATTGGCAGAGGAGCTGCCAAAGAGGTTCGGCACAGTTTATTGGTTTATTATCCAATAATACCTGTTTCCTACTCTTCAAGGAAGAGATGTGAGTTCTGATTCTCTAGACTATTAAGAACAATTGGGTGACTGAGCAGAGAAGGGAAAGTGGATGCTAATGGGGGCTTGCTGCAAGGGGCAGGGAACTAGAGCTCTGACGATGTCTTGACTCTCTCATGGCCTGTTACAGATCCCTTACAGACTGTGAAAAGTGGGTGCTGAAGTGTCAAAGTCCAGCAATGTTAATTTTGTTTTTTGGAGAGGTTTTTGCTATAGGGTGTGTGCGCTCGCCAGAAAGACAGAGAGAGACAGACAGAAAGCGAGAAATCACCCCCCAGGGAGATGGCCACACCACCGCAATCCCTTCTTCTCCGTTCTCCTCTCGGGACCTTGGGCGGGCCCGCACGCACACGCACCCGGTGTGAATTTAAGCCACCGGGTCTGTGACTTAAACCGTGATTAACTACATGGGAGTCCAGTGACATAGCCATTATGCTAACTGCTGGTCCCCAGCAATATTAATTTAATTAAAGACTCATTCTTTATTTTTAAAGAATTATTTTATTATTACTATTTTATAATTTGCTATAGGGCATGTGTGCTCACCAGAGAAAGAGTGCATGCGCGTGTGTGTGTGTTAGAAAAAGAGAGTGAGTGAGCAAGCGAACAAGCCACAGTCAGTCATGTGGGAGTCCAGCGCCTTCATCACCATACCACCTGCTGGCCCCTGAGGACTCATTCTTGATTGACAGTTTTCAACTGGAGACAATTTTGCCTCCCTTTCCCCCCTTTCCATGGGACACTAGGCACTACCTGTGTGAGCTGCTACTGGCAGATGCTGCCACACCTTCTGTGCCACCCAGGACGGCATCCCACCGGTAACTATCTGAATGGAGCCGTCAGCAGTGCCCAGTTTGAGAGATTGTGTTCTAGACTCTAAAAGAGCACATAATTAAATCCTGGATTTGCTTGGTTTATTTTTGTTGTTGTTCGTTCGTTCGTTCGTTCTTTCTTTCTTTCTTTCTTATATAGGTTTTTCGTTTCATTTGCTTTTTGTTTTTCTTTCTTATATGGAGTTCTAATGAGAACATAGTTACAGTTTACTTTGACAACTTTGCGTATCTTTTTAGTGAAAATAATGCAGTGATATGTCTGGAGCAATACAATGCTTATGTTTATATTTGTCCCTATTAATTACCAGTAAGTAAATACATTTGAAGAATTAAGAGATTTTAAAAAGGAAAAAGAGCTACATTTTAAAAATTAGATTAAGGTTGCATTTGATTTAAATTGGAGTATATAGATTATTAAGTGGATTTGCTTAACAGGGCTTGTTTTACAATACCTCAGCTTCAGAAAATACCCTAAGGCCTTAGCAAACAATGGCTCATTCACTTCATACCAATCCTATCAGTCAAACAAATTCCTGAGCAACCTCCAAAAGGAGCCTTCTTACTCACCACTTTTAACATTGGCCTGTTTCCTGCCATGCTAGACATAACCCAAAATAGCTTCTTCAACAATTAAAGTTGATAGTTCTTTTTTCTCTTAAGAGCTTTGAGCCTCAAAATGCTCTATAGGTCATGATTATTTTGGTAAGCTCACCTCACATATGGTCACATCATTAAATCTAAATGTTTTAAAAAGTTTCATGAAGTCAGAAAGCCACATTATTGTTAGAATAAATTGTATGAGTATAGAGAATTTTAATCTGTTCATTTGCTTCTAAAGTAAAGCAGTCCAGGTATAATTATCCATTCTTTTGAAAGTATAACATATCATGAGGGTATAATGCATTTATATAGAGCTAGCTTTTTCATATTTATGAATAATGAGTATCCACTAACACTCTCTAAATTGGCAATTAGTTTCTCTTTTCATTCTTTAAAATCACTTTGCATATCTGGTTGTTATTTTAAATAATTAAATTAATTTTTTTCATTCACACTCTGCAAATTCGGCCATATGTAAGTCCACTTCATCCATGATCCCATCAGTAGCTTAAACTCAGCATGAATAAAACTGATGGTCTTCAAAAATTGCTACCTACTAGGCCAGCAGGTGATGTGGAGGTTAGGGTAGCTGGATCACACATGGCACTATCTGCAGTTCAAGTGCCAGACCAGGCAGTTTGAAAGACACTTTGAGGGACCCACAGTTAGCATAATGGCTATGT